CAGTGTCTTCTCATGTGGTGAATGTCTTGAGCTCGATTTTGCGGTAGACACGGGAGGGGATGCCGCTCAGGTACTTGTTGCAGAGTTCCAAGTCCCCATACTCGGAACGGTCCACCAGACCCTTGAACAGTGCGGAGAATTCCGCGGCAGTGTGTCTTTCACGCATCAATTTGTCAGTGCAGAGCTTGGCGAGCTCTACCTGTGCCACCGCTGTGTTGTCGAGATTGCCGAAGTGAGCCTTGAATGTGGCAGCGAAAGCTGCTTCATTGGTGAAGGGCATTGTGGCTCCTGGGGTACTGATCTGAACCGATACAAGCCGGGCAAAGATTGGAGTGGCCCAGGTGTGGGCATCGCCATCGAGGAGGCTCAAGGCAACCTGCACTTTGAGCTCGATGGTGGTTAGTGCAGTATTTCCCTGCCAGTATACTCGCAACTGGGACAGGAATTGGTTGCACTCGATGACAGTTTTCCCATCATAGCGAAGGGGAAGGAGGAGTTTCAGTACCTCCTTGTCGACTGGGGGTGGAGAGGACATTATCGGCGGCAGGGGGGGACGGAGAACAGCCTGGGGGCAAAGGTGGTGGTTGTGGCTGTCCGTGGGGCGGACTTCGAGGGGAGCGAGTGTGCGAGCGGCCTCTTGGCGGCAACAATGATGGAGGCACTGAAGGAAGCCTGGGGGTGGAGTGACGTACATCAGGGACTGCTGACATGGAGGGGAGCACAGTCGGTGACACGGCCCGACTGAGAACTGCAGACTCAGACTCCGAAGCTCCTTCTTCACTCTCAGCAGGCTCTGGCTCTGGCGCAGGGTCTGCAGGGAGATCGGTGTCTCCTCATGTTTGACTTGGACCGGCAACTGGTCGGGGTAGGTGGGAGCTGGGGGAGATAGGGCGGGAATGTTGAGACATGGATTGTGATGCGAGAGTGCTTCAAGGACCGAGCAGATGTTGGGCCCTTCGGATGGCCTTGTAATGTTTGTAATCCTGCTTGATCGATCAAGGTGTTCGGTTGGGGCATGGCTGCTGCTTGCAGGCAACAATGAGAGCAGAGGCACCATCGGTGATGTAGATGTCAATGAGGTCCTTTGAGTCAGAGGCATGGATAAGGCCTTGACAGGCAGCCACGATGGAGGGAGGAAGGGAAGGTGCGCATACTATGAAAGGTCGTACTAAGCTAGCTTACACCTACAGCACCCAAGGTAACACTAGGGTTCACAGTTCACATGGGATCCAGTACTGCTTTTGGCTAGTATGCAGCAGGAATTTAGACCACGTGTCCGTGAGGACAAGTATTGCCCACTGAAGTGCAGATACTGAAGAGTTCGTCCCTCAAGTGGTGGCAATGTATTGTAGGCTACCTATGTATCATAAGGTACAGTAGGGGTGTGCACCACCCGACCTATAGGAAGTGGAAGTGAGTGTGATGGGTTCCGATGAACACCGGCAGCAGTGAGGAGTTTCAACCTAATGTTGCGGCTTGGGGTCAAGCGACAAGGAACAAACAAATGGAAAGGCTGGGGGCATTCAACTTAGTCTCACTGAAGTGATGGTGAGCAACGCTCAAACCTAAGGCTAGGGACAAGATAATATATTAGTTAGGTAAGAAAAGGAATACAAAGGATGCTTACTGACCTAGGGACAAGAGGTCGAAACTGAGGTCCCTAGGGCAGCAGAGCCAGGCTTATATACAGGGGAAGATTAGGGCTGGCTGTGCGCGCTGGTCCATGCACAGCTGGTCCGTGCGCAGCATGCTGATGTGGCCCCGGGGATCGGTGAGTCATCATGGCTGTGTCAGTGGAACCCAAGCTGTGCTGTGCACTGCCGTCCCATTTAATCTAATTGTACAGTAGATAACGACTTGTCCGTTCAAGCATATAGTACAGAGGTTGCGGGTTCGAGCCTGTGGAAGGGAAAAAATTAAAAAATGGCTAGACACCATGTCAACTCGTGACACTACATGTGAGCTTCAGAACACAGTCACAGTTATGTGATTGGATGGTGTAGTTCCCATGCAATAGAAGGATCTTTGAGGTCAAGTCTCAAACAACAGAATTCATTGCTAGTAATTCTTTCCAGATGTCTAGCATGTATCTCCCAGCTGGAAAGTGATATATAGTACCCAAATCATCGTTGAGAAGCATAAACAAGTGTGGGAACCCTGCCAAAAGTAGCATACAACCTGCCTTTTTAGGTGAATATGACTTTCTGCTATTTCATGTTATTGAGGCACATACCTATGTCAGGCTGGTACTTGTACTTATCTGATCTAGTCATAGGAGTGTATATAACATACTACAAGCAAGTTCCACCCTCACAGACACTCTGGCGGCTTTGCAACAGGCAGTTACCCTAAATGATACTAGTGTTGCCAGGTATTGTATCAGTAACAGAGTGGCCAAAAGAGCTTACACTGTCATATAACTTTACACAATCATGCATAAGGTATAC